CTCGCCACAGAATCGGTAATGATTGAGTGCAGATAAAAAAAAAAAAGACAACATTACTCTCCATTTACAGCCTTTCTGTCTTTTCCCTCTACTTCTTCCTTCACTTTCTTTTCCAGAGAAAATTAATGAGGAGAAAATGAAAAATATACACATTTGATCAGTAGCGCTAGGAGATGATTCTCTGCTGGTACCTGTACAACAATGTTCTTACCTTCTCAGTTTCAAGTAAATATACTTGATTAGTAAACAAGGGTTCTGTCTACATGGCACACTGAACACAGTTTCAGTAGCTACAGTTTAGCTGCACATGTTGTCCAAATCCAATCCACCTGTTTAGTTTATTGCTCAGTGTATTTGTGAACTCAGAAACATTGAGGAAATCATGATTACATTAACCATGGCTAAGTGGCTGGATTCACATAATACACTAGGCTATATTGTAGCTTTGGATTTTGATTGATGTGCTGTGTAAATCCACTCATTGTGGTTTGCCAACCACAAGTCATAGCTTAGTGTAGTATACAAGCCCAACCAATGGTGGATATTCATTAAACCATGATTAAATAACCATGGCTATGTGATCTCAGCCAGTTAGAAAACATTCAGCATACTATGGGTTTATGTGCTTCCAAGAGAAAGATTCCTGCCTTTTTCCCCTTTTGACACTAACTAGAGTTAATACTAAGGATGGTTCACAAACAGGCTAAACCCATTATCCATGAAGGTGGTCAAATACTAGTTATGTATCATTACATTTATAAAATAATATCAGAATTATACAACAATCTGCAGTACTGAAGAAAAGTTAGGGGTAAGAGCTATATAAAAGTCACTTGTTGAGAAGGAAGGAAGGAAGGAAGGACGGACCAACCAACCTTCACACGAACAGGGAAGGGTCTCAATTGCATTTAAAAATGGAAGTCCGGCAGATTTCTGAGCACAACTTTAGAAACCAGGTCACCATCTCAGGTCCTTGGATGGAAATACTGCCTCCTTGTCTAACGTCCTCCGAGGATCCTCTTTCCTTCCATCAGGAGTCCGGTAGCATCCCTTCCGACTAATACATCTTACTGAAAGCCATCCGCTTTTTTTTTTTCTTGGCAGCTGATGAATCCAGCCGCAGTTCACGGCAACTTACGCCTTTGACTAAAGCGCGGAGTCGGAGAAGGGGCGACTAGCCTCTTCTGCTGCTGCTGCTGCTGCCGCCGCCCGGCGACGGGCGGCCGCCGCTTTCCTCGTCCTGCAGCGCCAGCCTCCCGCGAAATCCCTGGAATTTCCGGGAAAGATGTTGCTGACTTTCAGCCCCGAGTCACGTGACTTCCAGGCCGACTTACGAGTTGGGCTTCCAGCTCTGGCGGCCAGCCATGGGCATCCCGAGCACGAAGGAAAACTTAACTTTGCGGCGGGGGGGCGCCGTGTCAGGAACGCTCGCCGGTCGCGGGCCTCGGGGATAACGCTGCGGGCGAAGAGAGACCGCCTCCCCGGCCTGGTCTCCGGCGTCTCCTGACTGCTCTCCTCCCGGGCGCATCGCTTTCTCCAGAGCCTTCTGAAAGGATGGGGGCAGGCGCCTTAGCCATCTGCGTGAGTACGGGCTGCCTGTTGGGGGTGGCGGTTGGCGCGCGTGGAGAGCAGGAGAAGGCAGGCCGTGTGTGCGTGCTTTGCACGCGGGCGCGCCGGCCGAGCAGGCGTGCAGCAGGAGACGTGGCCTGGAGCGCGCGTGTTTGAACCTTTCTGCTGTGCTATAAATGAACCATCGAAGGTGCCA